AAATTTTATGCTTCTTTCAAAAATAATAATTATAGCTATGAATCAATCTTAGATCATAGAATTTCAGATTTAACACCTCAAAATATTTGTCTCAAGATCGATTTTAAACTTTCACTTGATCTAATATGTGTTTCGTAAAGAAAAAATAATAATAAATAATGCACAGGAAATTACGCTGTTGTTGTTGTCGTGTCTCATACTCGATTGCACTATCCATAGAAGAGGGGTGCTATTGCCTCTGGAAAGGTTGGACTTCTGCCTGTTGGTCCGCGGGAGCTATTTTATATTACTCCTACCACCCTATGGTAAACCAAAGGAGGCATTCCCCAATCCGCCACCTGGGGACCTGGGGACGCTCTCCCTAGGGGTTACAGGCTCCCCGAGAGAGGAAATTACCTATATTAGTTAATTGTCTTCCGCTTAAAAAATTCTTTTTCATTTAGTTTTCAGCTGATGATAGCGAACGTAGTAATTATTTTGTCCCGCAACCTTCTTCGTAATCTATACACGTTTTAAATTAATATTTTGTTGCTGCTGTTTTTTTTTAAATTGCACATTGGGAGTATCGTAACGCAAAGTTAAACTTGAATATACAAATTTATTTATTCATTATTATTGTTTTCATCATTATTATTGTTGTTATTATTGCATTTATTATTGTTTTCATCGGACCTCAAAATCTGGGAGACAACTTCAATCTAGAAAGTATGGTGCCAGTCATATATCTTACAGTTCCTTTATTTTTAATTCCTTTTAAAAATCCCCAAACTTTGTTATAAAAAGGAAACATTTACAAATGAAAAGACTTGTTTTCAAACATGTGACTAATACTATTTTTTTTCTTTTTTACTTTTTTGTACTTTAACGTGATACCTTAGTATGGTCAAAATCATTTATTCGGTTTATCATTTATTCAGTCAGGAATATAATTTCGAAAACTAGAATTTTCGGTAAGCCGTTACCATAAGAACAAAAATAATTACCAAATGACTGATTTAAGTACCGTATATGTTGGCTTTATAAAGCTGAATTTTATTTTACTTTTTTTACTGGAAATGTTATTTATACAATTGGGAAATTTCTACCAGAGGTTTTTTTCCCCTGCACTCTCAGAAATAAAACTCTCACTTTTGACGATTCAGCAAATCGTTATATAGTTTTCTCGTTAATTTTGAGAATCGTTAATTTTGTTTCGCCGGTTTTTCGTTGATTTTGAGAATCATTTCGTCACGAAATCATGTGATTTGTGCCGAAACGTGAACTCTCAAATATATGACAAAAATGTTTCCTCAATTCGAAACTTCGTTCCAGCGCATTGTGGGAGATGGTTATCTAGAATGTCGAAACTAGAATAAAGACTATACAAACGGAAATAAAACGATTTAAGCCGATCGACCTGTATAGTGGTCAAAGACATGGCCTTGTGGTATGGGTATGGGCAATGGTGGACTGCGCTCAGTAATTGCCTCAATTATAACTCCCACCCCTAGCAGTATGCTGATTGCGCTGCTAGTTGATAACGTTTGTAGGTAGATCTCTCTCCTCATTGACATGTGAGGGGTGCAATATATACAAATCAAGCACTAACTTGGCGATAAGCTTCTACTTGGACAAGAAATATATCAAAATATATTAGTCCAATTTATTAAATTCGAGTTATTTCAAGCAGGATTAGATTTACAATTAGAATATAATACATTTACTGATAGTACTGCATTTATCATTAAAATTTTATTATCTTTATGGGTAAGTTAATTTACAAATGTAATTATAGAACGGGTGAACTTATGCATTTGAGAACTTTGTGTTAGTCCCTTTTCAACTTTCGATTTATTGTGAATAAAAAATTTGATTAGGACACATTTAAACGCATTATTTTGTTTAAATATAGTACTCAGTGTTTTGTATTTAAAATTAAGAAACAGCTTTACAATCACGAGATATCTTCAGAGTAAAAATGAAATAATTTTTAAAAATTTTACAAAACAGCTCTTTTATAGTTTTATTCGATGAAGTAAAAATTAGAATATTGAGGGTAACTAGGGAAAATAGAGTTAATATATTTTCAGTTAATTTTTCTGATATTATGACATTTTATTAAATTTTGTCTTAAAATTTGTTGCAAGATTTTCTTAATAACTCTAAAAATAAAGATAAAAAGTCGAATAATATAAAAATATCAATTAAGTTACCAACTTTTATTCTTTTATTTTTTTAAAAAATAATTTATAAGAAATTCTTGCAACGCCTTTTATGATAAAAATTATATTAAAAAAAAAGAAAAAACATGTACTTGGAAAATTAACTGAGACTATGTCGACTCGACACTCATCAGTTAAAAAGTTACACTCAGTATTTTAAGTTTTGCTTTTCCTAACAAAACTTTAGAAAAGTTGTTGTTTTTTGAAACTATTTTATTTTATAAGATATATTAGGATTTTAATTAAGCGATTAAAGAAAAATAATTGAATTGTGTTAAAAAATTGTTTCCAATATTTTCTTCTTTTTTTAAAAATTTTGAATTGACAGCAAAACTCAATATAAGATCATATTTGTTTTGCACATAACTATAGAGTAAAGCTTATATTAATCTGTTGATTGACTCAATTATCAATTTAGTAGATAAAATGAATATGATTCTCAATATATATATATTGAAAATCAAATTCTTACTACGATGTTACTGTAAGCAGAGCAGAAAGAATTTGTTAAAAATCATTTCGAATGAGAAAAATTGTACGAAATAATTCAACTTTATTTTAAGGTTTTTCCTTAAAAACACATAAATTAAATTTTTAAAAAAATATACTAGATTTTTAAGTTTCTGATTGCTTCTGTCAGGGTTGACATAAATCACTTCATTTTAGTCATGAATTAGATTAATCAGATCAGATCTAATTAAATCTATCTAATTAAATAATCAGATCAGATCTAACTAATCTAATTTAAATCAGATTAATTTAAAAAAAGCATTAACTTAAAAAAACATAATTTTTATGACATTAATTACGAATTAATTTTTTAAAAAATTATTAATTTAAGTTTTACATATTTTCATGCAGTATAATTAATAAATACATTCTTAAATGTGTGAATTTTTAAAAAGTCTGATTTAATTGATAATGTATGTTTATTAAGGAATTTATTTTTTTACTACGGAATAATAAAATGCATATGCATTGAAATCACTATGTTATCCCTTTCATTATAAAATGCATTGATGTAAATAGTGATTTTTTTTTAAAAAATAAATCAGTAATTTCAACAAAATTATTAAAAAATATTAATTGAAAAGATATATAATTTAAAATATTTTTTACTAGGAAATTTGATTTTAATTGAAAAAATTTTTTACTAAGAAATATCAAAAGGGTAATCATGTAATTATTATGTTTCAAAATAGACTACACTTAAATAAGAGTGATATGAAACCTTTAAATAGTAATTTTCCTTTTAATATGTTTAAAATAATTTTCAAAAAGCATAGTTCAATTACATCCATTTAGTTTTTTGCTAATTAAAATGCAAAGCTTTTATATCTTATTGAATATAGAGTTAGAGTGTATCAAGACTTCCTCAAACCAGAATGGCGTAATTTTTTTGTTCAGTAATGTTTTCTTACCTAAACTAATTTACTATTCATTTGACGTCTAGTTGACAATTTCAGCAAGTATCACCAAGTTGAATCTGAGAAATATAACTATGATTTTCTTTTTTCTTAACGCAGTGATTAGTATGTAATAATGTAATAATAATTTTATCCATTTTTAGTAAGAAATATTAGTTATTTTACTTCTATTTTTAAACAATAGTATTATTAAAATATTGTATCAGATGCTTTGGATGGTAAATTTTAAAAAATCCAGTTAATTTTATTCGAATGAAAAAAAATCCATTTTAAATCAAATATGTGCGATTTCGGAGTAAAAAAAATAATGATTGCCAACCATGGCTTCTGGTCAGAGTCATTTTATGTTCAAATATTTATTTAAAAATAATATGCAGAAGTTTGGTGTTAAGATAGATTAGTTAAAACTGGTTTAAAATTCGAATTATTAAATATATTCAAAAATTGCATGTAAAAAATCTTTTTAAATTATTAAATATATTAAATAAATTCAAATTATTAAATATTAAAGTAAGGTTTTTTAAACTTAATTAAAACTTGATACTGCACCCTGAACTTTCATTTTTTAACCAACTTAAGACGACAAGTGAGCAACAAATGTATATATTTTTTAACTTTTTAACCAATATTCTTGAAACAAGTGCATAGGTCTAATTAAAATTTTGACCGATTTTCGAAACTTTGAAAGCCATGTGTCACCTTAAAATGAACTACAATTTTTTTTTTCTTTGCTTAAATACAGTTTGTATTTTAAAATTACACAAGTATTAAAATTTACAAACATATAAAAAAATTCCTTTTAAATAAAAATTATTAAAAGATGGAGGAAAACTTATTGACAAATCCCCCTCCACCCTCAGCACACTAGCTTCTGGCGAACGATATTGGCGAGACGATGCTTTTATCAGAAATTGTTTTACTGCATGAATGAAGTAGGGTCATAAGGGTTGCCTTAAGCGCAGACCACCAACCTTTAATAAAGGGGGATAAGATGTTAGCAGCGCAGTCCACCATATTTCAGAAAACCATTAGCGCAATCAGATATCACCGATGGGTATAATTTATCTCTCTGATCTATCTGTCTTTGTGTGGTGACGTTAATGTGATTATTGGGAAAGTTAGATATATTGGGTACTACAGGGTTTCTTTTTTTAAAAAAAAAAAAAGAATGACGAAATATTTTTTAATTTTGACGAAATTAGTTTCCGTGAAGAAATGACGATAGCTATTTCATCCCTTTGACGAATTGTTTGCTTGGAGCATATACCAGAAAGCGGTTTCGTCAAAAAAGAAGAAAATTTCGTGATATTTGAGTAACCATTTTTTACAGAGTGTGTACAAATAAAAGGAAATATCAAATTAAACAAGGTGATGAGAGTCATAATAATGTTTTATTTCTATTTTTTATGCACATATTAAAAATGACATTTTAAAGAGGTTTCGAACACAGTTTTTAATATGATGACACATTTGAAAAACAATATAAAAACATTGTAAAACAGTGCATTCAAAAAACATAATACTTTGAAATTGAATTATATATTTCGTGCAAACGTCTTTACACACAGGTGGGAAATAAAGAATATGAACTTTAAATGTGAAATTCAAGTAATAGATATAAAATTAATAAATACTGAAAATAATGAGTCAAATTTTTACTTTGATATACAAAGATTGTACGAGTGCAAAATATCAGCAAACTGAATCCCTGCAAGCATTTATAATTAGTTCTTAAGTGATTTGTTTCATTTGGAATTATCACAAAAGTTTAACATTAATGAGAAAAATATCAAGACATGAAAGACAACTAAGACACCGTAACTGAATTTTGGCAATGTACTAGTACAAAATGGATCTGCTGTACGTGGGGCTGTTTTATTGAATTGTTCTTCAAAAAAGTGTTCGTTGTGTGTACTAGTCCTATTGCAAACTTTGTCTTCTTCTGACTGTACAAAAAGCACCGTTGTACCTAAAATAAGAAAAATTACAATAGCAATTTTTAGACAATGAATTTTAGACAATGAATTTTAATTCTATAATTTTTAGACAATGAAAACTAATACCTACGTTGAAAGAATTTGTAGAGTGCTACGTACTCATTACCATTATTATAATTGAAAGAAAACTATTATCAAAATCTTTCAATTCATAATCTACATCGATCACATTGAAGAAGGTTTAAAAAACAGTAAAACCAGTTTGTTTGAGGATAAAATTCAAAAGGGATAATTAGAAATACCTCATACATTAACTTATTAATAATAGTACTCTAGAGCTATTAGTTTATTTTTTGACACTGTAACAGTGAAATGAAATTTACACAAAAATATGAACTATATTTTAATTCTGAGAAATTGAATTGAACACAATGGTCGTAAAAGGGTTCGATTAGTCCGATGTAAAAACTAAAAAATACCGCCCATTAGTATACACTCTGTTAAATAAGCATTTTTAAACGATAGAGCCCTTTATTTTTCAGAATTATATATAGTGTGATTTTGTTATTTGGCATTTCTTATTTATGGACCTGAAAGCTCTTTGAGGGGCAAAGCCTTCTTCAGAACCTTCTTCCATTATTTTTCCTTCACTAGGGTATTCTAGAATTCCAGTTGGCCACTTTCAGTAATTCAAAAATAAATCAATATATTCAACCCATCTTAATTTGGACCTATCTATAATTCGGTTCTAATTGGTTTGAAATTCAAGACCCTGTATGCGAAAGAAGATTGTCCCATTCTGCAAATTTGTCAATCAAATTTAATGTGGTTTAACTTATTAAAGCTGGTAATATCTGCTTCTCTGTATAGTTAGTACATCTCTTTATTGTGTCTGTGCTTTCATGTACTATTGATATTCATAGCGCAAAGTATCTTTATCAAAACCTTTTTCTCAAGATTAGCTAGTCAATTTTCTGCGATTTCGTCATCATTCAGATTTCTAAGCAATATGTGAATGCGGGTCTAATAAAGATTTTATGTAGCAAAATTTTCGTTTGAATAAAAGCATTTATACCTTTACAGAGGAATAATCATTAGCAGTTTATTAAATAGGACAAATCAAAAATCATGTTAAATATTAAGTCTCCTCAAAAACATATGAAATATAGAAAAGCGTGTGCCCTGCATGGACAGCATGCAAGTTTAATGATACTTAGATTACCTGGAATGACAAGAAGATACATAGCTACCACGAATGAATAGAAGCAATTACACCTTTACAGAGGAATATCCTTTCCGCATTTACAGAGGAATAACTTTAGCAGTTTATTAAACAGGACAAATCAAATATCATGGTAACTACTAAATCCACACAAAACATTGAAAAGCATATGACCTGTATGGAGTGCATACTTAATTTTCTGCAATGGCAAAAATATACATGGCAACCAAAAATGAATAGAAGCATCTACACTTTTACAGAGGAGTAACCATTAGTAGTTTATTAAAAAGGGCAAATCAAAAATCATGATAACTAATTAAGCCTTCTGAAAAGTATACGAATCATAAAAAAGCGCGTGACCCGTATGGACAGCATACAAGCTTAATGATACTTATATTGCCTGGAATGACAAGAAGATACATAGCAAACACGAATGAATAGAAGCAATTACACCTTTACAGAGGAATAACCTTTCTAAATTTACAGATGTAACTTTCAGCAATTTATTAAACAGAACAAATCAAAAATCATGGTAACTATTAAGTCTCCACAAAAACACACAAAACATTGAAAAGCATAGAGTCTGTATGGAGTGCGTGCAAGCTTAATGATACTTTAATTGACTGAAATGATAAGAAGATACATGGCAACCACGAATGAATAGAGGCATCTACACCTTTACAGAGGAGTAACTATTAGTAGTTTATTAAACAGCGTATTCAAAAATTATGATAACTAATTAAGCCTCCTGAAAATCATATGAAACATAAAAAAGCGTGTGACCCGTATGACAGCATACAAGCTTAATGATGCTTATATTACCTGGAATGATAAGAAGATACATAGCAATCACGAATTGATTGAAGCAATTACACCTTTAGAGAGGAATAACCTTTCCATACTTACAGAGGAATAACTTCCAGTAGTTTATTAAACAGGGGAAAATAAAAAATCATGATAACTATTTTAATCTCCTCAAAAACATGTGAAACATAAGAAGGCTTATGACCTGTATCGACAGCATACTAGCTTAATGATACTTTAATTACACTACAGTGAATAACCTTTAGCAATTTATTAAACAAAAACAAAAATCATGATAACTATAAGCCTCCACAAAAACATATGAAACATATAAATGTATATGACCTATATGGAGGACATAAATGATACTTAAATTACCTGCAATGACAAGAAGATACATGACAACGACACAGACACCAACGACTATTCTTAACGATCCTGTGATTTTTGGATCTCCTGAGGAAGTGCATATGCAAAATGTTAAAAGTAACAGCAAGATCAACAGACAAAAAAACATTGATCCTGTTATCACCAGATATTGAGCTATAATTGGCACTGTATCACAGTAGTCCCAGCATGCAGCGCCTATAGGAAAAATAATTGACGTAATAAAAAATCACCCAAGGAAAGAAAATCTTGCACAAATTACAGTTATAAAATACTGAAGATCAGTTATATTAAAATAAAATATTTATAAACAAATGAGAACAGTGTATCATTCAACGTTAAAGAAGAATGCGTATGGTGTTCTCAAAACACTTTCATCAGCGTACATTGTAAATAAGAGAACATCTTAGTAAGTTTTGATCTAATGATTAGATTTGAATAAATTAGTCCAGACCATATTTAACGTTACAAAATCTGACGCTAAAACGTACTTTCTATCAATTAATATATCTTATTTTCCTACCTTTATTTCTTCTTTTAAGATTCTTGACCTTTGAAATATGAGAGAGTAGCCGTAATTTTAAAAATGCTGTCGCAATAATTTAGGAAGGAGAGCATTCTTTGAGCCCCTTAATATTAATTTCATAGATAGCACGGAATAGATATCATAGATATTAAATTTAGGAAGGAGAGCGTTCTTTGAGTCCCTTAATGTTAATTTCATGGATATCACGGAATAGATATCATAGATATTAAATTTAGGACGGAGAGCGCTCTTTGAGCCCCTTAATATTAATTTCATAGATATCACGGAATAGATATCATAGGTATTAAATTTAGGAAGGCGAGCGTTCTTTGAGCCCCTTAATATTAATTTCATAGATGTCACGGAATAGATATCATAAATATTAAATTTAGGAAGGAGAGCGTTCTTTGAGCCCCTTAATATTAATATCATAGATATCACGGAATAGATATCATAGATATTATTCTCAGATATCACTGAAAACATTCAAGTGAATAAAAGGAAATTGGCACACACTTGTAAAACTCGTTAATCCTAAGGTAATTTCATGCAAAAATAAAATTTTTAAGAACTATTTTCTTTTTAAATTTTATTTAATGTACTAGCGGTAAGAAAAAGTTAGAATTATAAGCAATACAAATTTTGCCCTATTTTTATCTACATAATTTTACATGACAAAATCCAAAATTTGAAAGAAATCGGTCTAATAGTTTTTGAGAAATAAAAATTTAAAAATTCAACCCTTTTGAAATGGCTAAATATGCGAAAAATTAAACTAACGATAACAAATTCAAACTTCAACTGTTCTTCTGACCAAACTGCTGGCACCATATTTTGCAGATTGCAGCAACCTCTCATGTTTCGAATGTCAAAAATACAAATCCGTCAGGAAAAGGTATGTTTTTGCAGAGAGAATACGTTTTAGTGTCTGATTTTGTAGCTTTAAATATTTTCTGCTTCGTAATTTTAAAACTATTGCACGCTCTCGTCACTTTAAATACTTACTGCACTAATTAATTAGTATATTTACGGTTAGGCACTCAATCGATTAAGTATCATAGTACGTTAAAGTCGGATCATTGGTCCAAAGTTAAAAGTGTTTTCTTTTTTATTTTACCCAATGTGTATTTTTGCCAAATTTGTCAAAAAAAAGTATACATTTTGATAAACTACATTATTAAATCTAGGAGAAAAAGTTTTCTAGGAATGGAAAATCAAGATCAATTATTACAAAATTCAAATTAAAAGCTTTAAAGTTAAACACATTCTCATCAGAAATACTTTTCATATTAATTACACTTTTCAGAAAGATTACACTTTTCAGAAAGATATAAAAGATACAAATATATTTAAAGACAAAGGGAGAATGCGATCTAAGTCCACAAAACTGTGAGTGTGTGTGTGATTCGGTGAAAAAACAATTTTGCGAGCTGATAGGAAGGGTTTTTCCACAGTATGGATCATCTTACTGTACAATAACTCTCGGGAAAAACCGATTTTTCCCCTTATTGATTTGTCAAAACTTAGTAATCCTCAAAATCCAACAAATGGCTATATCTAATCTTCATTATTATGAAAAATGAACATAACACCTTTTTTCCCTTCGATCTTCATTTATTTTGAGTCATAAAGCTAAACTGTACATCAATACATTATCGTCATCAATATTATCATCAACTGTATCAATTTATTGTAACTAAACATCAATAAACTCATCCGTATAATTAAAAACTTACCCATAGATATCATGGCCAGAGAAGACACCAAAATACCTAGAATATCGATGTGTTTATATTAATATTGATTATAATTATATCGAAGTACATTCATAAAGAAAAAAAACTGGATGATTACTAGTTTAAAAAAGAAAAGTTACAACAGCTCAATTAATTTCAAATTATTATTATTATTATTAATATATATATANACATTTGTAACAAACCCATGTTTTACAATATTGAATTATATATACTGAATATATTCAATGTACTGAATTACTTTTAAAAAATTATGCTAAACAAAGTATTTTAGAACAAGCATTATTTACAACTTCGACTGAAAATTGAACTAAAAACTAAACACTACTATTTCCTATCTTTAAGTCCTTTTTAGCGTGATTAATTAAATTTCAATATTTCTCATTTTATATATTATTTCTTATTTCCTTATTTCTTATTTTGATATTTCTTTTCATTGATTATATAATCTTTTCAAAATATACATGTAGTTACTTTACTAAATTGTATAGACCTAGTAGCTCGTTTATTTTATTTTTATTGTGTGCATTTTTATTGAATTTTTTTTACTTAAAAAATGATTAATATACATGCAGAATGTTTTTATTAATATTTTCAATTTTACTGAGTTCCTAAAATTCTGAAATTCATTCTTAATTTTATAAATATGTTCTCCAGAAACTGTTTTGCTTTTATGTTTTATGAGATAGAGTTGTTATATAGTTTCCTCTGATATCAGACAAGGACAATTTTTAATGATCCTGTCATCCCAGTTATAGTTCTAAAACCGTCTCTATGTGATGTTTTTTTACCTAATATTAGCATCATTTGCTTTTAATGTTTTGAACTTAAAAACAGACAAGTCATTACAACTTCAAAATAACTGTGAAACTGTAAATGATATCTATACGATTGTTAATACTAAAAGATTCCTGAAACGTTTGTTTCAGTCAATTACAAAAGTAAGTTTAACGGTGAAACTATAGACGATTTTTTCAGTCAATTAAAGTAATTGTCCCTGTAAGAATATGAGAAAGCTGATAGAAACGATAAAATTACCTTTATTTGTGCAGTTATTAACTTGAGATTGTCCCACAGAGATTTGTGAGCAACCTGGTGCATTCTTACCAATTTAGCTCCTGCTGTATTTTCCCCAGTTTCTAAGAATTAAGTTTTATAGTACATTCAAAATTACGAAAATATATTTAAGTTGTTATATTTATCATTTTAGGAACTGAAAATGGAAAAGATCATTCCTAGATCGTAAAATAGCCGAAGGTTCTTGTTTATAGTACCTTCAAAATGGCTGGCATGGCGAGCTTTATCTGGTTTACAATAGTCATTGTAGGTATGAACTTAACATCATTCACAATTAACTAAATGAGTAACATTTATCTATTATATAAATAAGCATTTATATATATATATATATATATATAAATGCTTATTTATATAATAGATAAATGTTACTCATTTAGTTAATTGTGAATGATGTTAAGTTCATACCTACAATGACTATTGTAAACCAGATAAAGCTCGCCATGCCAGCCATTTTGAAGGTACTATAAACAAGAACCTTCGGCTATTTTACGATCTAGGAATGATCTTTTCCATTTTCAGTTCCTAAAATGATAAATATAACAACTTAAATATATTTTCGTAATTTTGAATGTACTATAAAACTTAATTCTTAGAAACTGGGGAAAATACAGCAGGAGCTAAATTGGTAAGAATGCACCAGGTTGCTCACAAATCTCTGTGGGACAATCTCAAGTTAATAACTGCACAAATAAAGGTAATTTTATCGTTTCTATCAGCTTTCTCATATTCTTACAGGGACAATTACTTTAATTGACTGAAAAAATCGTCTATAGTTTCACCGTTAAACTTACTTTTGTAATTGACTGAAACAAACGTTTCAGGAATCTTTTAGTATTAACAATCGTATAGATATCATTTACAGTTTCACAGTTATTTTGAAGTTATAATGACTTGTCTGTCTTTAAGTTCAAAACATTAAAAGCAAATGATGCTAATATTAGGTAAAAAAAACATCACATAGAGACGGTTTTAGAACTATAACTGGGATGACAGGATCATTAAAAATTGTCCTTGTCTGATATCAGAGGAAACTATATAACAACTCTATCTCATAAAACATAAAAGCAAAACAGTTTCTGGAGAACATATTTATAAAATTAAGAATGAATTTCAGAATTTTAGGAACTCAGTAAAATTGAAAATATTAATAAAAACATTCTGCATGTATATTAATAATTTTTTAAGTAAAAAAAATTCAATAAAAATACACACAATAAAAATAAAATAAACGAGCTACTAGGTCTATACAATTTAGTAAAGTAACTGCATGTATATTTTGAAAAGATTATATAATCAATGAAAAGAAATATCAAAATAAGAAATAAGGAAACAAGAAGTAATATATAAAATGAGAAATATTGAAATTTAATTAAACACGCTAAAAAGGACTTAAAGATAGGAAATAGTAGTGTTTAGTTTTTAGTTCAATTTTCAGTCGAAGTTGAAAGTAATGCTTGTTCTAAAATACTTTGTTTAGCATAATTTTTTTAAAGTAATTCAGTACATTGAGTATATTCAGTATATATAATTCAATATTGTAAAACATGGGTTTGTTACAAATGTTGTTATTAACGTGCGTTGCGATTTGTTATCGTTTTGTTCTCTTATGTATGGAATCAGTTAAATATTTGTTTAGTTTTTAACACTTATAGGTCATAATTCTCTTACATTAAAATGAAAGCGAACTCAGCACAATTAAACACAATTTTTTTTAAAGAAACTATTGTTAAAAAATAATTTATTTTCAAAAAGGAGCCTCGTAATATTACACATAATTGAAATTTAAATGTTAAAAATTGAAATTTTAAACACAATTCCAAACCTAGGCCGTTCACCGAATCGTTTTGCTTTATTTTTATCACTTTTAAACATTACTTTTAAATAAAATTAGACAGATCAAGGTAATTAATGGATGACAACGGCCGGGATAGCCCGGTTGGTAGGGCACTAGGCCCATGCCCAAAAATTCGTGGCTTCAATCCGAGCCGGCTGAAGACTCTCCGTGTAGTAAAGGGTGACTGATGCACGTTAAATCTGTTTAGTCGCAAAGTCCTCCATGTTCCCATAACAAACCCTCTGGGGGTACTGATCCAGGAGTTTCCTTGTCTTCTGGATTGGTTCAAAAGTACAAGGCTGCGCAGTTGTACATTAGTAGTCGTAAACCCAAAATTGGGTCGGCTGTTCAACGACAGATATAAGATATAAAAATTAGTGGATTGCAAAATATCTTACAGCAGTAGAGCCAAACGAAATTATATGGTTAGTTCGTTCTTATTTTATTTATCGATGAAGATGAAAGAATTGTTTAAATCTGTTGTCTAAAACTCTGAATTCATATTATCTTGTAAGAAATTTGTAAAATTAGTTTTTAAAGCTTGATAACTTTACAATCCATTTCTCAGAAATTATATTCCAGCAACAAAAAAAAAAAAAAAAAAAAAAGCTAAAAATTCAATTTATTGACTATCTAAAAATTCAATTTATTAATTTATTGTGTCTTCTCCTTAGGGACGATTATGTTAAATTTAACCTTTAAAATTGAAGAACTGGGTGCAATATAATGACAAGCCACATCAAATCGATCAGGAGAAGTGTTCTTGGTGACAAACACCATGATTTTCATTTATAAATAATAGGTTTTTTAATATGTATGTATTGTGCTGTTATTTAATTGAAGTTCTGGAAATCTGTAAAACCGTAACTGTTTGGAAACAATGCTAAGAAACAGTTTGATACAAAATTACGACCTTTGTAAAAAGTATGACAAATCACAGTGTCGTAGGCCATTCAATAATACAGATTTAAAAAGAAAATAAGACACAGTTATACATAAATTGTACTTCCATACTTGAAAAGGGTTTAAATTTAAATACTTTGTTTAACCTTTTCGAATTTTAATAGCAAAATAAATAATTCGATGACATTTATCATTTGCGATAAACCTAATTATTTTTAAAATATAGAGTGATTTAATTACTTATTAAAGCATGAAATGTTTCGGATTGCATAGTAATTCAAAAGTATTACTTAACTTTCGTAGCTGAACAAGTAGAAGCATTACTTAACTTTTGTAGCGATGCAAGTAGCAACTAATCTTGTTTAAAATGTGTTCTTGTTAGTTCACCCATTGTTAGCATTAAAAATATTCTAAAAGTGTTGCATCTTACACTTAAGAGCAATCATAATAGAAGCAGATGTGCTGTCTTATCAAACACTGATAAATGGAATAGATATCGATATTGTGATAAAAACTGCTTCATCAGAAGTTTACATGAAGCCAAAAGTTTACTTTCTGTATTTGAAACGCTACTGCCCTCTAGAAAAAAAAAAGCTTTTTTTTTTCTTCTTTTAAATGACTTCCTTAATATAATTTTATATTCATATCTTTCGTAAGAAAAACTGTTAAATATAATTTTCGAAATGAGAAAAATTTACGGAACTATTATAATGAAATCACTAATTCCGAAATTACTTATAATCAAAAGTAGTATAATTTGAGGTACTTTGTTTTGTACAGAAATACCAGCTTTACCTTTTCGTGTATGAGACTTTTTGCGGTTAATATTTTTTTTTTTCAATTCTGCTTTTTTTCCTTTCCATTTTTTATTTATTTTTATTTTTCTCGGAGAGGGAGCAATTCTATTAAAAATTTTACTTTTTTTTTCGATTTCTTATGAGGAGAAAGAAATTCTGAATAAATTATCGTACTGTACGGTAATGACATATTCCTAATAGAAAAAAACAGCATAATTATGATTAATAAAACCAAAATATACTGTATTTAAATTATTTATTTGGGAAATTTTTCCGTTCATTTAGCAATATGAGAAGCTTATTTCTTTTAAAATATCGAGTAAAAGTACAAGTACTTTGAGCAAAAGTAATGAGTAAAACGTTTTGATTTTGAAAAGTAAAGAGCAAAAAGTACAAGTACAAAAACAAAACAGAAAAGTAAGATTTTACAGTACATTTCGAGGAAATCAGAAATTCAAAGTAACATTAAATTTCATTTAAAAAAAAAATGTGAGATAAAACATGAAGTCTTAATTTAGAATCCATTACATTTTAATTTGAATGTAGAAAATTTGAAAATGCACGAAAAAGTTACAAAATTAATTAAAATAGTGAACGTTGAAAATATGCAGAAACCAAAACCAGAAATCAAAATTCAATGTTTGAATATAAAAAGGAGTTCTTAATTTATGATTTATGTTAATTTTAAAACTACTTAATGTTTAGAAATTTCGTTTTTGCTTTGGAAACTGTAGTAATAAATTAAATGTTTGAACACTATAACATCTGTTTAAAGAAATGAGTAAATAAATAAAAAAATTATATTCATAAACATAAAACTCTTCAAAATTCACTAAATTATGAATTATATTTCGTTTTTATAAACGTTAAAAAATTTATTTTAAAATTACAAGTAAAGACAAGTTTTTAATTCGCGATCTAGATATGCCATATTAAATGTACTCGTAATCGAAAATTGAGCGCAAAAGTTTTATTGTTAAATTTAATGATATGATGAACTAAATGTCAATATGGTAAAATTCGTAAAAAAAAAATTTTGTACAAAATCAGAAATAAATAAATAAATATATATAAAAAACTGCAGAATTTTTTTTATATATACGATATGAACTAAAAATATCATAGTTTTAATTTTTAAAACTTAAATGCCAAATAATTCTAATGTTGCTCAAAAAATTCTAGGTTTAGTAACAACAAATAAATTATTGAAATTATTAACATAAACTCCCGATACCCAGCATGGTTGACAAAAAACATTGCTTGTCAAACTTAAATAAATGGATTAAGTCATTGGCAGGGCGCTCGTTCTCTGGTTCAGGTCAAAATTACGATCTGTAGAGGAATGAATGGGTCCATCTTAAAAACGGGTGTGACGTATGGGTGTGTCAGAAGTCGATCTCGGCCATATATGACACTACTGGAAAACAAGAACTATCACATATCTTTTCCTAAAGCCCTACGACAGCAACAAATCATTCTTCACAAGATTTTGTAATACTTAAAAAAAAATAAAAAAAAAATAAAAAATAAAAAAAAAATAAAAAAATTCTACAAGGTATTTTATTCCCGTTCGTCTCAACGTAATTCAGTATTAAAAAAAAGTTTATTCTATATAAGTATTTTGTTGCTTCTAATGCCACTTTCTCAACAGTTTATCGGAAATACCAGTTTTCTTAATAACAGTTCTTTTTACCACTCATTTAATAAAAAATACAAAACTGAAAAGTAAAATAAAACGAAGGAATGGTTTTAACGCCATTCTCTTAAGTATCAAAAAAAAATTTCAAATTTTGCCTTATTTACCAAATTTTATCACATATTATAAAATCATATTTTCTCGTTAATTTTACCAAAATCATTGCCAAAGCGTGTCAGTAAAAATTATCGAGCTTATTGGTGTTCCCATAGAGTCAAAAATACTGTAAATTTTATTATATTCTGGTAGTTTTGACCATATTTTTGCATTCATACTTTTGAACTCATACTTTTTTTCTCGGTGTGTGATGGTTTCTTTTAATGGAATTTTTGGTGTTCCCAAATAGCCAGAAACGTGATAAATTTTGCAATATTCTGGTAGTTTTGACCATATTTTTTTTTCTCAGTGATAATTGCCTTTTTTTAACTTAATTTTGCGTTCATATTTTCCTAAGAAGTATGAATGCGAAATTACAGTAGTCAAAAAAGCGATCGAAAGTTCGAGCCTTTTATTGTTAATTTTTATTTTTGAGTATTTCATCGCATATTGGCGAACCAAACAATTTTTTCATACAAGCTATAAACTCGTTTACCGAAATTTTCTTCCAAGCGAAGCATAATATTTTGTAGTTATTTTTATAGCTTAATTTAATTAAATATTTGAAATTTTGTAAAGTAAGTATGGTGTAATTAACAATTGAAATGTGTACAAATTTTGTACGTTTTTTTTTTAAATTGTGTAATTTTAAATGGCAAACTCCATTGTTTGTGTTAACTCAATTGAATAGTTTCTGAGCAATTGAAATTTAAATAAAGTATTATTTTCAAATTTTCATTTTTATTTTTCACTTTATTCTTTTTAAACACGAAATATTTTCACTATATTTTTTGTAAGTGTTTCAACGATAAATATTTAGAGTTTTGAAATATTTGCAGGTGGCCTTTATGTGGCCTAATGCTATGTCAGCCTAAGAACTATTTTTAATTTTTGGGCTTTTCGTAATATCTCCACAACTAATTACATGAATATAGAAATAACAATCAAGCATCAAAATTGCTTAACAAAGCTAATTTCAAGGGAAAAAAAATACTTTTTATACTTTTTTTCCCTTTTTAACTTTTTTGAATTTGGAACTTTTTTTGAACTTTAAGGGGTATACATTTTTACATTATGATACGATATGTAATTTTTACTATTGATTTAGTTGAGTTAACTTTAACCGAATATAATAATTTGAAAAATAATAATTTACAACAACATTTTAATAAAACGAATGAATGTTATTAGTTGATATTTTTTGGAAGCTCTAAACTAATTAATTCCTCATTTTTACAAGGAAATTTCGAAGTTTGATTAGGCTATAAAAAACTTTTATTCTTATTACTAAATTAAATCATTATTAAATTAATCATAAAGAATTATTATTTGCATTTTTTAAAATTACCACTGGTTAAAAAAATTTGTTTACCAGCAAAAAAAAAAAATAAAATAATAATAATAATAATTGATTCGCGAAACATGATTTCACGCCCGTAGACTCTTTAACTTGGAAATCTGGTTCATTATACTGATCATATATTCAAAAATTCATAAATAAAGAAATAAAAATAAATTTATTAAAAATAAAAACCCATATAAATTAATCATTTTTATTTCCATATTAAGAAGTTTGATTTTAATCAGAAAAATTCATTTTCATAAAATTATAAATTTTCTAATCCCTTTTTCTGGCGCTTATTGCTCTGAAAGTTGTCAAAATATGTATGTATGAGTTTCTTTTTAATTTTTTATTTATTTTATTTTTCTGTTCAATTGACCAAAGCATGATTACAACATCTGCTGCAATAATTATTTCGATAGACTTTCAAATTCTTTTTTTTATCTCACCAAGAGCTTCACAATGAGCTATTGGAGACAGTCTGGGAAGCATCCCTGAGGATGATCAGATTACACGCCACCACAATTTTGATCCTCTGTAGAGGGGTAGGCTCCCCTGCTTTCCCTTAAAAACAACCATTCTTTTATAGCAGGTGAAATCACCTTCTAAAAAGTCAAGAGTATTGATCAATATGCTAAAGCTAAGATAAAATACTAAGTCGAAGTGTAAATCTTAGTAAAAAAAAAAAAAAAAAANTAGCTTAAAAAAAAAAAAAAAAAAAAAAACAATTTGGGAAAATTTCGTGGTTTTTCCCTTCACGTAACTTAAATATCACTCAAAGAATGCTTGACGCAAATGCGTGTTGCATTAATCAATTACATTCTCTGAAACGATGCGTTTGAGAATCTGGTTGGTGCAACACAACCGCAGAAAACATGAGTAATAGCAGTGAGAATGAAAACCAGAAACAAATTTGAGGTACGAAAAAAGAACAAAGCAGTAGAAATCAGAAATAAGTTATTCCATTTTTAACAACATTTTCACGATGATTTCGGCAATACCTTTTGAACAGTTGTAAATAAACAAAGTTTGATTTTTCGATAAGCAGACGATTTTGAAGATGTCTTCGAAACTAGTTAAACTTTCATAAAATTTAAATTAATTTTATACGCAAGTTTCATGCAATTAAAAAAATCAGTTTCGGTATGTATTTGAACTGTTATCGTTTAACTAACTTATTCAGTATTTTCATTTGCACATAAAATGTAATCTTATTTTACATATACTTTAAAATGAATATATTATCTTTCAGTTCCAAAACAAAATCATTTTAAGTTATGAATATTAAATTTGAAATTTCTAAATATAATTGGCCATTCGTTTCCAATGCGATTAATTATGCATTCAAGTAATAATTTTTAAATTTTTACACCCATAAATATTTATATTTTAAATTGAAACTTAATTTTTAATTCATTTTATAAAAAACAAACAAATTTTTTATGCTTTCTCAAGCTGCAAGTATTTTAATTTAAAATATTTTAAGAAAGTTT